AAGTTAGAGGCAGACCTATGCAAGTTGGGAATGACAAATATCTATTCCCAACTTGAGGGGGAGTGTAGAGAACACTGATGTGGACCCCACGGCTGTGGTCCCCACTGTGTTCGTATGACAGCACACTCCTTTTCTAAAACCCTTGTGTACTTCTGCTTCTCTCTTTTCTCCTTTCCCTCTTCTTCTTTTCTCCATCTGAAACCCTTTTTTTTTACTTTTGGATTCAAGACTGATTGTAGTCTTGATCGACTATAATTAATTATTAGAAGAAAATAAAATATTTTATAATAATACAAATATTTAAAGGTTTATATGATTTTATTCTAATTATTTATTAGAACCAAATGAGATACATGCATGTGATATTATTTCATAGTAATAAAATGTTAAAATATTAAATGGTTGAAATCTATAGGACAACCTGTTGTTCATCATTTTGTTCTTAATATTAGTTGCTTAGCTTTCTATGATGGTTTGGAATATGCATAATAATCTAGAAAGGTGTAATTATGTTTCTTCAATCATTTCACAAAATATTAGTGCATATTTTCATATATTTCACAATATTTCCCCAATGTCTATACTTTTTACAATATTTCCATTCGACATATGTCCTTTATTTGGGTGAGCGACATTTCCATCGACATTGACATTTTAAACCTTGAATATGACTAGTGGACTCTGAAGCAAAAGTAGTTCTTTGATGTTGTACTTTGCGCTGCTTAGGCATGTCTAAAAGATATATCCCATTTGCCTCATGGCAACTCCCAATCACCTTCTAAGATTTCATGTCCTGAAAAACAAAATATGAAGGGTAAAAGGTCACATTGCAATTCAGAGACTTAGTTAATTTACTAACTGAAAGCAGATTGATATTAAGTTTAGGTATATGAAGAATAGATGACAAAGTCAGGACATGTGATGTTTTGATGTCTCCCTTTCCTGTGAGAGGAGCAAGAGAGCCATCAGCCAGGGATATCTTGTCCCGACTAGAAAGGAGTTGGTAAGAGGTGAATAAAAGAAGATGATGAAAGGCCAAATAGAAGGGGTTATGGGGAGCAAAGGATTCAAGCCGACTGCGAGATGGAGTTCAAAGCAAAGAAGTATGTGTTTGAGGACCGCAGAAACAATGACCAAGCTTTTCTGAAGATTAGAGAAGAGAGAAAAAACCACTGTCTATCTATTCAGGGATGCTGTGGTGTGGGTGAAAGGATTCATGGATGGAGCCACTTATATGAAGAAAGAAAATGGATGGAAGGGCCACTTGAACTGAGAAACAACAAGAAAGGCTGGTACATAATATTAACAGAGTGTTTCAGGCAAGGGAAGAGGAAGATTGTCTGTATTCCAGAAGGAAATAAAAAGAATGGTTGGAGACTCTTTGTGGGGAGGTTAGAGGAATACCTAGTTTTGACAGAGGAGGTGAAGAATGGGGTGCAAAGGATTATACAGGAGAAAGAAGTGGAGGTGTCAATAGGGGATGAAATGGTGAACAGTGATGTAAAGGAAAGACAAACGGTAATTGTAGAACAGAGCCTAAAACCTATGATTTCCTACTCACTGAAAACACAAAAGATGGAGTTCGGAGTGGTGAAAGGGGCATGGTAGAACAGATATGTGGTAACTACTGGCAAGAAGATTGTAGACTAGCAGCCGATTGTCGATGATATTGCAAAGAAGTTTAGGCTTCCTTTGGATGCAATGGTAGTGCCTTTTAGTGAGAAAAAGCTGTTCTAGATGCAGGGGGCGAGAAGACTGAGCTATCTTCACTTGTAATCCAGGCAGGTTTGATTACTATCGAAGAGTGGCATATGTCTTGTAATGAGTAGGACATATCAGTGGGAAATCTCAACATAAAGTTAGTAGGGCTGCCATTTAACTTCTGGAGGAAGACGATCATTGAGAAGATAATCTCTACAATGGGGGGCTTGATGGTGGATTGCAACTTTGGCAATTTGCGAGCAGTTGAAGTGAAGCTGCATGCGTTGAAGCTGAAAGAGGTTCCTTGGGTGGTGGCTATCTTCTTCGATGGCCTTTTGAGGAAAATTTGGATCCTGATGGAAGCTGAAGCGATGTTGTGGAGCCAATGTTCGAAGGAGGAAGACAATGATGATGTGGAGTCTACAAACCCATGTGGCATGAAGAGAGAGGGTGAAAATAAAGAAGTTAATTAGGGGAAAGGAAAAGTCGAGCAGCAGGGATTTATTGAGCGGCAGCCTAATTAAAAAAATTTAAATTTAAAAAATCAGGTGGGGCCATCCTTTGCCGATGTAGTCATAAGGGGGTCAGACCAGGGGCGAGTTGTGGAAGGTAATAAGCCTGAACCAAACAGGAACATGCCAGTCAGGCCAAGGGGTTGAACCGGGCGGAGGTCTCACGTGACTCACTCAATAGTCACATGAGAGTAAGAAAGAGGGGAGGGACTATATACAAAAGTCTGGGTCTATCTTCTTACCCAAAGAAGACCCAGTTGAAGAACAACCTGAGTATGCCGAACAAGGAAAACTTTCAATGGGTTCCAAGAACCCTAAAATACCAAGAGGAAGACAGTACAAGTTTGGATCGCCCAAATCCGAGATATGCTAGGACACACAAAGAGGAGAGAGATGTGGAAGATGGCAGGTGGATTGATTGTGAAATGTTTGATGAAGAGGAAGATTCTTTATTGTCTGGATCAGATACAGATAAACTAGAAGAGATTATGCAAGTGGTTTTATTGGAAGAAGATGTGCTTGACACTAGCCTTCTCTTTGATGTTGATCTGAGATTGGAGGAAGTTAACTCTCCGAAGCTGCCAAATAGTTTGACAGACAGGAATAATGCTGAGTTTGACAGGGGCCTTAGATCTATTTATCAAGACAACAATGTTCTTACTTTCCATCTCTTCAAAATTCCTATCCAGCCACCTTGCTACCTATGGGACAAAAAAAAAAGACCAAGCAAAACCTTCCAAACTCTCTCTTTGGTTCAAGGGTCTTCTGTATATGCATTGAAATTGATCAACTAAAGCTTTAGCAATTTCTTCTTGACTTGAAACCATTGCTCCATTTACCTCCAACTTGTCCACATTTTTTCGTCTCCTACCGTTAGCCTAAGCATGGAAGTATCTAGTATTTCCATACACATTGGTTAAAACCAAAATAAAACCATCGTCAAGATTTCTGCATTTCATTGAGACAGAGAACCTTGCAATTAATTCCTCCACTGACTCCAATATTTCATTTCTCCACATGGTTAACACTCCCCTTGAAGCCTCTGAGAGGGGACCACTAAGCGACTAATGCCTCTTGAACCCCATATACTTATAATCCAACTCTCCTAATTGTGTTTCTTGAATCATGACAATGTTTGGTCTTTCTCTTCTGAGCAAATCCTTGATTAACCTCCTCTTTCTTCCACTCTCCAATCGTCTAACATTCCATATTACTAACTTTGTACCCCTAATCTCAGGATGAATTCCTACTTTGTACCTTTTCTCCTTCCCTCCTTCCACTATATTCTATATCCCCTTCCACATCAAATAACAACCTCTCCACTTCTGGTCTCTTCTTTCTTCTCCCTCTCTTCTTTTCCTCACTCTTCCTAGAGTAGACCTTCATTGCCTCCTTCCCTTTCCTCTTCCTCTCCTTCTCTTCCCCTTACCTATCGGAATTAGCTCACACTCCTTAGGGATTTCCCTCACTAAGAATCTTCCCTCTCTAACTTCACTATCCTATCTACAACATGTCTCCTCTTCTTCAGCTAATTCCTTTTCTTTAAGCTCTTCAAACAAAGCACTTTTTAGAGCCTAGACCCTATCAATTTCTTCTCTTTCTTGCCCCCCACTTTATCCTACTTCCCCTTTCTCAACCACCAAACCTCTATCCACCCCTTCTCTCTAAGGCAAGGCACCTGGATGGATGATAGAAACACCTGTAACAGGCTCAATTCCCAAGTCAGTAACCAAGACCGAATTTACACATGTACCTGGGTTTTGAGGCAAAGAACAGGGGACCACAACAATTTCCTGGCCAGTGACTAGTGAATTCTATGGTTTTAGGTATATATATGGTAAATATTGCTTAATAATATGATAAAATCACTTTCCTATATATGTTTATCTGTTTAGAAAATCTACATTTAACTTTTTTAAGTTTGTAAAAATAGAAACAATCTTTCGATATATGATATGATTCATGATTTGATTTGATTCAGCTTTCTCTACGATTTATAATATGACTACAATTTTCATAACATTGACTCATAAACATCTATCCTATTGATGCTGTTTATGCCAATCTGATAATTTTACAATCTAATCTATATATTAAATAACATCAAGAATCAGGACTTGGATCAGATGCCATTAAAATGTACTTAATATTTACTACATGCATTAATATGATTATTGCATTATTTCTTAGAATGTTGAGTTTGATTTTTTATGTTGTATATTTTCACTTTTCTTTTTGATTTTTTATCTTCAATATGTAATGTGAGCATTTATTAATAAACCTTGCCTTTTGGCTTTAAAAAAACTTGGTACTGAAAGCTACAAGTACTATGTGAAGGTTTACTTTTTGGATCTTGTTTATAAAATATATTTTAGGTTTAAACTCATTAATGCTTCTATGGGAATGGTTTTATAGGGTTGACCTTTGCCATCAGGCAAATGATGAAGATGAAGAAGATGAAGACAATAGTTGTCGAGATGCTTTGTTGGAAAGGTCAAAGAATGAACCAGGTCCATCTAACATGGATGGCCATAGAAAATGTTGCCCTTTTCCATCTATTCATATTGGCAGTAGACAAAAGTTTGTGATTGTGGTATGTTGATGATAATAGTTTCATGTTGTATATATTTAGATAGTTTTCATAATAAGTTTTCAATATCTGTTATTGATGTTACAACAACAAATTTAGAAGCACTTGACTGATTTTATTGGACAGAATCAAACTAATTTGATACATCTTTTACCAGGTGATTGTGCTAGTCTTTGTCTTAATGATAACATTTGCTGTGTTAATCTGGATTGGCATGGGAAAGAATCCCATTGATTCTTCAACACTGGCCCGGGTATGGTTATTCTCATTTTTATATAAGAAGTTTATTCTCATTTTCTCAAAACCATTGGAAGGTTTATGCTGTATCTGACCCCATATAGTTGGGACAAGGATTAGATGATGATGATGATTGGAAGCTTTATGCTTTTTATTTATTTATTTATTTATTTTTTCACTCAGTGGGGCAGCCCATCCTCCAAACGTTATAATCCCTTAACCTTGCTGAAGGTAGGAATCAATCCCAAATTTTGGTGAACTTGCATAAATCATGGTAGATCAACACACTGCCTTGCTTGTTAATGATGTGGTGGATTCTTTTTCTAGCTGGCAGGGGTGTTAGGCAAGTTGATCCCCTCTCTCCCTTTCTCTTTACTTCAGTAGCTAATGTGATTAGTCGAATCATTACCAAGGCTGATAGAGAAGATATCATTAGGGGGTGGAGAGTAGGGAGGAACCAGATCCCAGTTACCCACCTTCAATTTGAAGATGACCTCATGATCTTTTGTGAAGGGGGTAGAGCTAATCAAAGGTTTTTAAAGGATTTCCAATCTGAAAATAAATTTGGAAAAGAGTTGCATAGCAGGTTGGAGGATGGAGAGGTTGAGGCTATTGCAGAGTGTCTTGAGTGTTCCATCTTTCCCTGGCCTATGTCCTATCTAGGGCTTCTATTAGGGGCAAATCCTAAGGAGAGCAGATTTTGGAATCCAGTGCTAGAAAACTATCCTCGTGGGAGAAGAATTACATCTCATTGGTAGAATCACCTTAATAAGATCTACATTGCCAAACTTACCCACTTATTCTTTGTCTTTAGGATACCACCTAGGGAAGCTAGGAAGCTAGAGAAGTTAATGAGAGATTTCCTACGGGAACCGGGACAAGGAAAAAAGGATCATTTAATTAAGTGGAAAATTGTGTGTATAAGTAAAGAAGAGGGGCGGGGGGGGGGTTGAAAAAAAAAGCTTTTTTGGGGAAATGGCTTTGGCGATGACCATTGGAGAGTGAGAGGCTTTGGCATGAAGTGGTGGGAAGCAATCACTGGAGTTCAGCAAGTGGGTAGGATGCTGGCGTATCAAGGCAGGCTAACTTGGTAGCACCTTGGAAGTCCATTTACAACACCCTTCCTCATTTCCTTAGGTTTGTTAGGTAGGATGTTTGCTTTGGTAATGCTGTCTGGTTTTGGGAAGACATTGGGAAGACATTTGGATCCTACCTAGGACTTTGGTTTCCGTAGAGGTTTAAGGGATGATGAAATTGAATCCCTCTCTGATTTACTGTGTTTCCTTAACCAGGTTTGTTTAGATCCCTCCAAGCCAGACAAAAGGGAGTGGGCTCCTAGACCCAAAGGGACCTTTACTTGTGCTTCTTTTTTCAAGTCCATTTCCCAGTCCTCTATTCCACAACCTTTTCCTTCAAAGGAAATTTGGTGCAGGCCGGTTCCCCCAAAGATTTTCGCATTTTGTTGGGAAGTGTATTATGGGAAAGCAAACACTTTATATAACCTACTAAAGCGAAGACCTTTCCTTTATATTTCTTCCAACTGGTGTACCCTTTGTAGATCTCATGGGGAGGATTGTTATCATCTACTAATATCTTGTCCATTCTCTGCAGACTTATGGGCGGGCTTGGCTACTCTCGTTGTTTGGGAGTATTTGGAGCTTTCCAGCTGAAGTCTGCCTTGATTTTTGAATGCTCTACTTTCCCTTGGCCTACTAAAAGAGGGAGAATTATGTGGAGATATGCTCGTGCTGCCTTGATTTGGACTTTATGGGAAAAGGAATGGTAGAGTTTTTCAACAGAAGGAAAGGAGAATGCAGGAACTGAAAGAATGTGTGTTAAATAGGGCAATTCTGTGGCTAAAGACTTTGGAAATCTTTCAGCAATTCTCCTATGACGACCTTTGGAGAAACTGGGAACAAATAGCGAGGTGCTCCTCCATTAAAAATAAGACAATTACAAGGTGGTCTCCTCCATCTGAGGGATCTTTAAAGCTGAACATCGATGAAAGTAGTTTGGACAATCCAGGGCTATCTGGAATGGGGTGTGCTTTGAGGAATGAGTTTGGAGAGGTGGTACTGCTCTACTCAGGTCCTTTAGGAGTTGAAGATTCTATTAGGTAAGAGCTTTTAGCTTCTGTACAAGGGGTGCAGTTTGCAAACCAATTGGGGGTAGAGCATTTAATCATTGAATATAAAAAACTTTTATATTCTTAATTTTTTTAGGTTATAATTATAAAATAGACATTTTTAAACTAAAATATTCATTTTGTGTATATACTAATTCCTTATTATTATTTTCTTATTTGTTAGAGTTTAATCAACACAAACATTGCTAAATGTTGTATTGAACCCTCAAAGACTTCAAAACCTGAACCAATAAGTAAGGAAGAACATAAAATGTTGTCCAATCAACACTTCTTCTTCTTCTTCTTCTTCTTCCACCTTTTCTTTTCTTATTTTCCTATAACAGAAATAGGGGTTCAGCCCCTATATTTTTTGAATTTTCTTTTCATTCTTCTTTTTCTTCTCATGAATATGTTGGAATGTGTTGATTTTCTATAATTTAACATGAAGTTTATACTTTTCTTATGAAAATTATGGATGTTTATTAAGGAAATATGATTATGGAACCTAGGAACTACCCTAGGATACATGTTTTTACTTAAAAAAATCCATCGCCTAGGCGATTAGGCGACAAGGTGCCCCCTTGTTGCCTAGCCTCACCTTGGCACCTTGAAAACTATGATTCCAAGGTGGTTGTGGGCTGGCTAAAAAACCCCGAGGATACAATATGGTGCTACAAGAATGAAATTTAGAAATTTATTTGTTTGACAAGGAACATGTTGGTTTCCATACAGTGGGTGGGGAGATCAATAGATACTTTAGATGATGTGTTAGCCAAACAAGGGGTAAATAGGGAAGAATTGTTTTGGGCTCAGCTGTGATTTATGTAATTCATTACTACTTTATTTATGAGCTATCAGGAGAGGCTGCAGCTTGCACCTCTCCATGGGTTATTGTATGATGTTACAATTCTAAAGCAGTTTAATAAAACTTTTATCACTCATTAAAAAAGCTGCCTATCTCTTTAGGTTTCAAAATACTATTTCTTGTCTTATCCAATAAAATAGTTATGGTGTAATGGAATGGTTAAAATGTCTTAATTTGTTGCCAAACTTAATTTCAGTCGGTTGTATTTATTGACAAGTGTATTTATGGTCTAACAATTGTAATAATCTTGCAGGTCTATATAGATATTTTTTCCATTGCAATCCTTTTGCTTGGTGGAGCTTTAGCTTGCTATGGTGAGAAATGATCATCTTCCATTATATTTTCCTATAAGCTTGTGTTTTGCACATTCCTTTTCTTGATTGTTGCATATACTGTCGTGAATTTTGTCTTAACTTTTAAACCCATGGAATATACTCTTATTGGTTTACTTCATAAAATGATTAAGATGGTGTTTGGTACCAGAGTGTTTTAACAATGTTCCAACTTAATCATGACATTGAGAATTGAGAAAATGAGATGTTTTGTCACAAAACACACTGCACAATAGTTTATTATAAACATGTAGGTGCCATTAGTTTTTTATGCCAAGGCCCCAACAACCCATGCACATAACCCAATGCCAAGAACCCAAAAAATACAAAAAACTTTTTAATGCCAAGGCAGGTGCACCTAGGCGCACATTTAGGGTATGTGCCTCACCTAGGTCCTAGGCACCACACTTTCAAAAGGTGCACGCCGATGCACCTTGCACCTCAGCCCAGGCATGTGCCTTTTAAAATTTTTAAACTTTTTTCTTTTTTTGAACCTAGCGGCTGGGACAATGTTGTTCATTCATTCATCCTAATAAAATATCTTCTTAAAAGGCAATTAAAATTATAAAATCATTATTTTTTGTATGAGAATTATGAATTTAAGACCCTAACATGGACTTGTTTGGGCTTGCCTTGAGGGGCTTGGTACAAAGGCGGCTCGTAGAATTAGGAATGCAATATGTTTTACATCACATTAGCTACTTGAAGTAATGCAATTGAGTAAAAAAGGAGTTTGTGGGTTTTACATGTTTGGAAATGTTTTATATGTTTGATTTTATTTTTAAATTTTCATTTGAATATGCTTTACATGTTATGTTTATGTATTTTAATTTTAGATAATAGGTTTTTTAAACATTTATTTTAAAATTTAAGTTAATATTTTTATTAATATTTTGTTTTGAATTTTCTGACAGTTTGTTTTATTTTTTTTGGCATTTTTTTTTTGTATTTTGCGCCTTGCTTCAAAAAGGCATGTGCCTCGCCTTGCACCTCGGGCACAAATTGCCTCTTGTTCTTTTAAAACACTGCACCCCATGCACATACCCCAATTTAAAAATGTGGTGTAGCCATTTCAAGTTAACTACACTTAACTAAATACATATTTTTGTATGTTAAAAGTCATCATCTATTTGAGAGACAATCTTGATCTTTCCTTTGATTGGGTGACTTCTTATCACCCTGATGTATCTTCAATCTTTTTCCTTAACAAAATTTCTTTTTTTATTTATCTTAAAAAAGGTCAGCATCTATGTGACACTTTATGTGGAGTCAAAATAAGAAATGCAAAACTGCAGTTCCAAAAATTGGCTTCTCTGTTTTATACGGCTCCCTCTTGGAGGCAATTTTCAATCTAGTTTTTTGGATTCGGTTTTGACAGGCCCTATAAAAAAACCTTCCACCTGTAATTCAAACTATGTATTGTTTAGGGGCATAATCACCGTAATAAAATAAACCCTCGCCAACCTACCAATCTATTACCTTTCGGTGTTTAAAGTGCCAGCTCTCATTGCCAAAATATTGGAGAAAATTATGAAAGATTTTTTGTAAATTTCAGGAGATTCTTGATACTCTATTCACTCCACCCCACCAATAATGATTTCAAGTCTCTTTGCACCCTTCTGCCTATACAAAAATCCTTCCTTCTCCATCTGTTATTCATGGATCTGCAAATGGTTGGCTAATACAATGGCCAAATAAAGTGGTGAACGAGGATCAAATTTTCTGGGCAAAATTATAAAATAAGCTTATGAGCTACAAAGAAAAGGGCTAGAAAGCTAGGTAGCTGAAGCTAGTTTACATTTGGAAGTTCTTGGCACCTTCTGTTGTATATAGAATATTCTTTTATCACGATTAGTAATGCTTAACTGTTGTCTATAAAAAACCTAGCTTTTTGATATTCAAGGCACAAATATTAACATAGTTGATAAATTGGGTTGTGTATAAGATTTGTGGTCTTGTCCTATCGAAAATATTAGTGCATTGTAATTATAAACTCATCATGCTTTCATCTGAAATGAGCAGAGTAATTATAAACTTTTTTTTCATTGCATTACAATGCCAGGACTTCTACTCTTCTTGAAAATGAGCAGAGTACGATCAGAAAAAGCTTCATCTGAAATGTGGAAGGTATTTTCTATATGGTTATTCTTTAAAACATTTTTTTTATTCACTTTTTTTACTGTTTAAATATTGATGTAAGATCTAACTAGTTATTTATTCTATTTTATGTATGTATTAAGGAATCTGGTTAAGGGCAATTGGTGCACTCTCTGGTAGCTATTTTGAGCAATTTTGCTTCCCTCTATTCATACTTAACCCCCTTTGACCCAGAATGTTTAAATGCTTAATCACCTTAACCAGTTCCCCTGTGACACTGTTAATACAATCCTTGTGTATTATATAGTTTTGAATTTTTTTTTTGCTTTTGCTAATTTTTGACTACTTTCATTTTTATGTTTGCATTATTATCATTGTTTTACTAGTTGTTTGGGTCCTTAATTTGTTGCCAATTATTTACTGCTCCTGCTTGTAACTTGTTGAAAATTTTGCTATTGCGTGCAGGTTGCAGGTCTGGCAGTTGTCTCTGTTGTATGCTTCACGTCAAGTGCCTTAGTGTCTCTTGTTACTGATATTCCTGTATGTACTTGTTATCTGCAAGATCTATTTTTTTTTTTTTAAGTTTGGCAGTGTTCAAATTTTAACATATAAATTTCTGATTGTAGGTGCTTTATCATTGGTGTCAGAAATACATTGATGGTGTAAATACATCTCTTTTAGTAGTATTATATTACTTCATAGGTACTGTAGTTTCCCCAACATGTTCTCAAGTTGATTTTATGTATTTTTATATATTTTGAATGTAGTTTATCTGTTGTCTGTAGGTCCATTCTAATAGTTCTATTTGTCTAGTTATAGTTTAGTCATGTTTAAACTTTTAGAGTCATTGGTTAAGTAGTTTATGTATGTATATATGTAGCATTGTAGCCTACTAGAACTTATGCTATTTGTGGTGAGTGATTTGAGATTTTGCATCTTATGCTATGTGTGGTGAGTGATTTTAATGCCATAGGCACCCCTTTGAGTGACTCTGGGTTTTCTATCTGTTTTATCTTTTTAATCTTTCAAGAAGCCATTACTGCTATCAACTTCCATAAGTTCTTCATCAAATGACATTCACTCACTGTTTTCAAAGAATCGGAACTGATCTTGATGAGTTTTTCCTTTAACTTTTAGCAAAATTGGAAATTTTCTATTTTGGCCATTTTGACTTTTGATGTCAAACCATCTCCTGTCCCTCCCATATTTGAATGCCCCCGTATCTCCTTAAATCCTTTCATCCCTCCAAATATCTCCCAGACTTTCACCTAGAACCCTAAATTCCTCAGTTTTTTTTTAATTCTTTTCCCAATTCTAACATTTTTTTTCCTTTTATGCCAAACATGCTCCGAACTTTACCAAACTTGGTCGTCTTTGATCACTATCCATTCTAACCCTACCTTAACCTTTTTTCAAAAAAAAAAAAAAAAGAAATCCATTTGATTGTCACTGAACCAGAAAAAGAAAGAGAACAAAACAAAATCAACTGGGGACCACTGCAAATATAGGGTTGTGATTTTATTCACTAAACATTTCTCCATTTCAAGTTTTCCAAATCTTAAGTAGTAAATCATTCATAAAAAAAAATGCTGAACTAAAACAATGAAAGTCTACATGCATAATATATTGGGGAACATTAGTAGATAATTTGTAGGTTGTTCATCATGGAAACTTATTATTTCCTATATTGCAAGGAAACCCTGCTTATGGGGGTGCTTGGCACCATAGAATGTCTGTCCTTCAACTATTATAATGTAGATTCTCCAGGGATAAAAGTGGAAGGTGTTGAAATGATGTTACCTGCATGTTTTGAGCAAGAAAAGGAAAATCATATGGCAAATGATTCCATGGGTTATCTTTTGGGTAATTTGGCAGGAGAGATTCTATGACGTTTTAGAACTAAGGCTGCCCAGCAGAGGATGTATGGCAGAAAATACTGGGCAAACTGCATTGTTGAATAGCAGCACATAGAACTGATAGAAGTTTCACAGATCAGAATGCAGCACTTTTTTGCCTTGAAAATCTTCTTGTAAACAGTGGGGGGTTTTAGAACTAAGGCTGCTCAGAAGAGGATGTATGGCAGAAAATATTGGGCAAACAATTGGAAAATAGAAAATAGTATGCATTTTTTGTGATCTGATTAGCAAATTCATTTTTCCTAGATTAATCAAAAAAAATATTGGGCAAACTGCATTCTTGAATAGCAGGACATAGAACTGATAGAAGTTTTAATAGAGCAGAAATGTGGCAGTTTGCCTTTGAAAATCATCTTGTAAACACTGCGGGTTGGTGGTATAGGAATACTTTCTGTATGTATTGTTTTGTAAATTCCCTGTGTACAGCCTCTAGTTGTACATGGCTTTTTTGTTTTCTTTATATAATGAAAGCATAATTTGATTTGATGTTAGAGCATAATTTAACCACATCTTTGTTAATTAATTTGATCAGTGAGATAAGAATAAATTTACCTGAATTGCTTAAGTGCATATTTTTATAATTTTATCTTGTTTTGAGCATGCACAAACTCTTATAAACAGTACAATTCAAATATTCTGCCAAATATTTCAAGCAAATTTCACACACTTCTTTCAGGTTCATCAGTACCTTCAGCCTTTGTGCTATGGGTCATGAGAGAAATGCCCCCTCCACTTGCGGTTGATAGACAAACACAATCAAGAGTAGTGACATTCATCAGTAATAGATCAACTGCAACACATCATCCTCAGCACTGGACCACTGCCACAAGCTCACAAAACCAGGTTTTGCAATTGAGTTTTTTTCTTTGTTATTTATGACATCCAATTATTTACAATTTAACTAAAGACATCTGTTTTATCTTTAGTTTTTTTCTTGTGAAGTAAAATGGGTACTCTTCTCTTCCTTTTTCAACTAAATAGATATATTTAATCATTATCATCATCATCATCCATGTGTTATCCCAACTTACTCCTCCTAAAGTCAAGATTTTTTGTTGGGAGGCTGTCAACCAAATCATTAAACCTATGAAAGGATCCAAAAGAGCTGCTTCAAGAACGGGGAAAAAACCAACCATCTCTTTGTGCATTGTTCTTATGCCTCTAGATTGTGGGATCTATTCTTTATGCTGTTTGGGAAAAACATCGGTAGGCCCATTTGTAATTGACTTGTTTAAAAATGATTTGATAGGTGGTGCACTCGGAGGTAAAAGGTCTTGTGATAGTGTGTGCAGGGTGTTGTGTTATGGGGTGAAAGAAATGCCAGGATTTTTTGGGAGAAATATAGACAGGTAAAGGAGCTATTTAAAGGGCAGCCTAGTGCATGAGATTTCCACCCATGAGGGGTCTGGGGAGGGACAGATGTAACAGCCTTACCCCTGCAAACACACAGAGAGGCTGTTTCCAAGATTTTGAACCCTGGTCACCGAGGTCACTATGGAGCACCCAACCATTGTGCCAAGGCCCACGTAGGGAAGCTATTTGAACTCATAAAATTAGGGTAGCTCATTGAGCTGTAATTTGTGAGGAATTTAGAGGTATTTTTCTCAATGACCTACTTATGGGATGGCATATTGTGGCTGAACTCCAATTCGATAGGGTTGTGGAATGGACCTATCCTGCAGATGAGATGGTTAAACTTAACGATGGGTGCTGCCTGGGAAATACAGGGGTTTCAGGTATGAGGGGAGTGGTAAGTTATCATTGTGGTAATCTAATTTTCAGCTACTCAGGCCCAGTTGGTGGGGGTAATTCTTTGAGGGCTGAGTTATTGGCTTAATTCAAGGTTTAAAATTATTAGAGTTGCAGGGAATGAGAAATGTGGAAGTGGAAGATGATTGCAAACTACAATTCTACGAATGAAAGCACAAGATGAAATCCCTTGGGAATTCAGACATTAGGTGAGGGTGGCTTGCTCTCTAGGTGCTTCTTTAAGTCCTCATTCAATTGGGTGCTTCTTTGGCAAGAGAAGGGGTTGGGAAAGAAGTTTTAGAATGGGGGTGCCTAGTGCCAGGCTGTAATTTGTAACAGTTGTGTGGTCTGTCCTAAAACAAATTTAATTTGGGATTAGAAGAGAAGAGAACAAGAGAAGGAGAAAAGAAAATAGGGCTGTGGAAGAGAGGAAGAGAAAGACTAACATCCTCTAATTCCTGCCCCACTTTTATTACAAGTTTATAACAATAAACCTGTGTACAAAGTCTGAAATACCTCTACTTAATTAACAATTAAAAAGAGAACTAAAAGAAAAGATAAAAATACGCATACCCTGCCACCTAATACAACTAAGGAACTAAATAATTTCTAAAACTCCTTGATAGGTTCAGCCTATCTCTGGAGCTTCTTCAAGGGAGCTCAGGCTTCCTACAGAGAAGAGAGACGAGGGAATTAGGGTTTATGCACTCAAAAGGTAATCCCTTTTATTGCAGATATGTTGTATATATAAGAATTACATCACATGGGGGGATTTTCAGTAGTAACTGACTTGCTAATGAGATTCTCTCACATATGCCTTTGGATATGCTGGATGGGGACCATGGTAGTGGACCGATTAGTGGAGATGGGCCTAGCAGTATGCNCCCGCCCGCGGTCTCAAGACAAAAAATTCCTGCTGAAAGCAAGAATACTCTTCCCAAGTAGCTTCTTCCGGTAGATTGTTCCAAGCGACGAGAGCTTCCTCTAAAGAAGATACTGGTCTAAAGGTTCTTGATTAAAACAGTAACAGAGAATTAGAAGAGAAAAAAGAATATACAAAGATGAGATAGGGAGAACAGTGGTTTATGTTAAGAAGAAAAACACAAGTAAAACTTGCATCACTTCAAGAGAGCTCTTTCAATTCACTATTCCATAAAACATCACTTACAAGATCCTTTTATAGAAAGATAATAGAGCTTGTGTTACTATTCATCAAAACTACAGAAATGTCACTGCAACCCAAAGAAAATTATATTTCTTATTCCTTTTTATCCTAGAAAGGTGATCACAAATGTTGGTTCCAGCTATCTGGGATCTCAGGAGGGGTAGCATAACTGTCAGTCTAGACTCCACTGGCATTAAGTAAACCTATCAAAAACAACCCTAAAACAGAAATTATTTAAAAAGCATACAAGTAAAATAATCAAGAATACTGACTATCTTGATGCCGACATCAGAGGGAACCAAGAAGGGAAAGGGTTCAAACAGGGAAGGCAACTGGAGGAAAGTAATGGGGTTGATCTCAAAGGGATCTTGCAGAGTCTTCTAAGTGGCTGAAGTTGGTTTTGGTGCTTTCAGATTCTTCAGGGCACTAGTTGTCTAGCTCTACATTTTTGGAGGTAAAGTCCAGTTCTTCTTAGTGTGTGCTGGTGCTGATACTTGGGGTTTCTATATGACTTTTCTTTTCAGTGGGGCGGGAGTGTTGCCAGAGTTTGGATAAGAGTCCAGGTTTTCTTTTCAGTGGCTGAAGCTGGTTTCTATAGGTTCCTCCCCATTTTTCTTCTTGTATTCTGCTTTTTCTTCTCCTATAGATATTTTATACTGCATTGCTGGTATAAGAGTAGCCTTTTTGTAGTTCTTATCTTGCCTTCCAAGTTTTTTAATTAATGTTTAAAATATCAAATTGATACATAATCAATTATGGGCCCTCTTTTTTCCTATTATTAGTTGCTATCATGTATCCTCTGTTTTATTGTTCCTTGTCTAATAGGTCTGTGACATGAATTATTTCTTTCATGAGAAATACTTTCTGTTTTTGTGGAAAAGATATTTTAGGTAGGGATGTGCCATCAAAAGATATGCAGCCTCCTAGTTCATAAACTTGGACATTGTGAATTTGTGTTATATTATAAGATATTCTTATATAATTTTATGGGAATTTCATTGTTATAAATCCTCTCTTAAAATTTTATCTTATAATAAATGTCCTAATATGATAAAACATGTGACTTAGTGAGTTGGTCTGTTTCCATATAATTAATCAGCAAAACATACATTGTAGTACAGGCAGAAAAGGAATTTCTACATTGTAAACCTCGTATTGTTAAATGTTCAATAAAAATCCACTTTGCAGACTATAGTCTGCTACCGAAGTTGGTCTAGATCAAATTAAAGCAGTTTCTGATGCAGTGACTATCCATGGACTCCTGTGTTGGCTTCTAGAATTGAATCAGGCATAAAAAGTTAACCGGATCTTGTACAATGTCTTCCATGGTTGATAGCTACTGACCAACCTGGTTACATTTACACTGTATACCTGTCTCATATAAGCTGATCCTTTTCATTAATAAAATGTTGTCTAAAGGAAAGAAAGCAAAAACAATCCAAGACCAAGGTTTTTGCACTTACACTGCAAATAATGAACACTTTGATCTGTTTGGGCTCTAGTTTAGAAATCTTATGCAACGCAAATGGGTTCCAGCACTGAATAGATGTGAATGAAGCAACAACTTTCTGGGGTGTGCATATTTTGTCGAGAACATTCGATCATATGGGCCTTATTCAGACTTTTTTCCTCCATTTATGCTTCATAATGGACAGTGTCATCGTTTTCTTTTTTTTATCTTCTACTGCAAACAAAAAGTTATGACACTTGGCAGGTCAGATCTGTATACTTATACTGCCTTATAATTGCACAGGTCACGGGAGTAAGTCCAATATAAATTTGCAATATGTGGATGCCATGTGAGAATATCTTGCTTGTGCCAATTCATGGATAAAAAGGAAGCATATGCAGAAAAGCATACAAGAGAAAGGGTTGGACTTCAACCATGAGACTGCAAGGTCAACTGGGGCTGGTGATACTCTTGAGAGGCACTTGGGATACAGCCATTAAGGTTGTGGTTGTTGCCATGTTTTGGCACCCTACACGTGTAAATAGCCACAAATTTGTCACAGACTTCTAATCACCAAATACGTGTCTCACATCTCTCTTACTTTCATATTTGTGTAAAATCACTATGGAATGTCAACTTTATGCTCCCATGCATCATGGACATCTTCTATCCCAATCAAGCTGGGTTTGTTCAAGCAAGTGATTATTTTTGAGCCAGGGTTAGAAGGAGAGGAAAGGGTTGTGTTTTTTGTTTTTCCTTGGTGTTTGTTTTCTTCCCCGAATTTTCTTTTCGACAGGTGATCTGGGGCCAACAATAGGAAGTCTCAGCAGGGAGTGAACCGCAAAAGATATACAAGCACAGCACCAGAAAGATCAGTGCATTCTGATGGACACCTACATGATTTTCACGCTTGAGACCATGAGTCAGCATCCAAACGTTCCAACAGTTCAATCCTGTGGTTAATTATAAACTGCCATGGCTTATTAAGGTTACTATTTCATGATTTTTAAATGACCTATTGCTCATGATGAATGGTCTAAGTCATGAAAAAAAGAGAAAAGAGGAGAAGAGAAGAAATTCATGTAAAAACAGAGTAGCCTTTTTTCTTTTTCTTTTTCTTTTTTGGCTTCATGGGGCTACACAACGGGGGGGTGGTCCTTACCCATCCTCTTAAACCCCCCCAACCCCAAGGTCCCCAACCCTGGTGGCAGTGGATTTGATCCGAGGCCTCTGGTACAACGATTTACAGATCTACCAACGGGGGGGTGGTCCTAATAAGCCATGGTCCATGGGAAGTTTTATTACGTAATATGAAGTCATGGATCCCAAGGGACTTGACAAAGCAATGGATTCTATCATGGATTCGTGGGCTCACGTCAATTGTCTAACAAGCCAAATTAGTGGTGATGCTTGATGCCCAAATTAGGGGTACTCAAAAAATCGGAAAACCAAAAGTTGAACCAAAAAATCCAATTAATCAAACCAGTCGATTCGGTTTTGGTTTTTTATTTTGCAAATTCTCAGTGGACTTTTTTGCAAAAAAATTGATCAAGTTTAGTCAATTGACAATTTCAGTTATGTTTTAAAAGTAATAGCAAATTGAGTGAGAGGGAGGAAACATGACGTTTTTAGGACAAAATTACCCTTTTGTTAAAAATAGAATGTCAGAATCCATTGAATCCAAAGAGCATTCATGTTTCATTTGTGCGGCACCATCCATTCAAATTGTGGCTAGTTGGAAGCATCTCCAAGTTTGATATCCACTCTATCCATTCAAATTGCAGCTGGTTAGAAGCAAGGTTCAAAATATCGAAACGCTGGTGGGGGCGTTTCAGTACTCGTTTTTTTACTTTTTTTTATTTTTTTTCAAAACTGGTTTAGGGGAGCCAATCTAGTACCCCTCAATCCCCTGAACCAGTCCAATAGATGCATGATGCAATTTGGGTTTCAAAGTCTATAAATATGAGAATCATATAGAACTAAGAGGTTCATTGAGTTCTAAATGGTTTTGATGGTGTAACTACTTGTGGGGGATAGATGTTCAAAACTATAATTTATGTATCAAAATTGCAAACAATTGTCTATTTTGTTTAGTGCCAGATGGTTTCTAAGTCTGTAAGCGTATAAGAATCATACAGAACAAATAGTGTAAATACTATTTTATCACCTGAGGGGCTGAAATTTACAACTGTAATCGAAGATTCAAAACTGTAATAAACCATCCAGTCTATGTAATGTCAGATGGTTTCCAATTCTGTAAAACACTATCCAATCTATGTAATGCCAGATGGTTTCCAACTCTGTAAAACACTATCTGATCTGTGTGATGTTGGATGGTTTCTAACTTTGTAATAAACCATCCAGACTGTGTAATGTTGAATGCTTTCCAACTCTATAATAAACCATTTGGTCTTCTCCATGCCGAATGGTGCCTGCATCTGTTAAACACCACCTAGGTTGTTCCATACCAGACAATCTAGGCACTTAATTTGTTCTTATTGTTGATCATATAAGTAGATATTTAGTTTGGGTATTAATTACAGAGATAAGCATTATGAGCTTTATTCAATTGTCTTGTTGTTTTAGCCAATTTGGCATTATCATTCACCACCTTCCTCTAGTACACTTGCTTTGAAGATGGAGTCGATGCTTCCTAGCCAATCGTAGTTTGAATTGGTAGAGTTGATGCTTCTCAACCAAATAGAATCAATGCTTCCCAATCTGAAGTCGTTTTAATGGATGGAGTTGATGCTTCCTAGCCAACCGCAGTTTGAATCGATCGAGTTGATGCTTCCCAGTCATATGGAGTCGATGCTTCCCAATCTGAAATCGTTTGAATGACTAGAATCAATGCCTCCAACCAATTGCAGTTTGAATGGATGGAGTCGAATTCGAAGTTGGAGAAGACGAACAAAACATGAATGCTTTTTGGATTCAATGGATTTTGTTTTCAACAAATAGGTAACTTTGTCCTAAAAACTTCATGTTTTATCCCACTCACTCAATTTGCTATTATTTCTAAAACATAACTAAAAGTGTCAATTGACAAAATTGGTCAAATTTTATGCAAAAAGTCCAATTTTCAAGTTTTCAATTAACCTATTAAAAAATTGTGGTTAACCAAACTGGCCGCTATATGTATACACGTTTCCAGAATGAATTTGGGATTTCCAATTGTATCTTTTTAAATCATCTCTCTCTCTCTCTCTCTCTCTGAAAATGAAACCATCTCTTTAAGTCTGGCATTTTGAGTTCAAGGGTTCTTTGTTTGCACTTAATATGGTTGTAATTCAAAATTTCAAATTCAATTCCATTGTTTTAATTCATAACAAAAAGAGACGTACTGTGGATACTATTGGTGTATTCACAAATTTCATGGCTTAACATTCCCCCGACTCCATTGTTAGTCTCCAAATAGTTGTTGGGCAACATGCTAAATAAATGAAAGAATTGTAGAGATTATCAACATGCTAAAGAAACACATCCAAAATTGGACCAGCTAAAAGAGAAAACAGAGTACAAGGAGTTTTAGTTCACAATCATAATCCTTTTCTGCTAGATTAGGAAACAATTATAATTAAGCTCTCGGTTGTATGTGAGGTTGAACTCGTAGCTCAGTTCCGTCGGAAATTCAATTCTGAGGTGGTGAAAGAGAAAGAAATTCCCATCCACGCAAGAAGTTTCTCTAGTTCAAGCTGTTTTCTTTGCCCACCTTGATTGAAGATTAGAAAAGCAATGAATCTTGATCCCTTGACTCTTTCAACCTGTACTCAAATTAATGACCTTGGCTTCAGTAGCAGATTTGTTCTCAAAAATCCTTTTGTTCCTTTCTGACCACACAGCCCATAGCACTGCCGAAGGGATGGAAAACCAGTAGATTTTCACTTTCTTGGTTAATCTAGGTAGATGCCACTCCTCCAACAGAGCTTTAACTGAGACTGGCATGCACAAATCTAGGTTCAGAGCTTTAAAAAAAAAAGATTCCAAACTGTTGAGCTAAACTTTGCAGTGAAGGAATACATGCCCAGAGGACTCCACCTCCATATTGCATAAACAACACAAGTCTGAAATGTTAAAGCCTTTTTCTGAACATCTCTTTGGACAGGCACCTCACCAAAGCTGTCACCCAAACAAAAAACTTGACTTTTGAAGGAACCATATTCCCCAAAATGGCCTGACTGGGAAAAGGGACTTCAGTCTTCCCACTAGAAAATTGTAAAAGGATTTAACTGTGAATTCACCTGACTTGGTCCACTTCCAAACTCTTGAGTCCTGCAAATGAAGATTTAACTGCTGGTTTTGTAACAGAGCAAGGAAATCTGCATCCTGTTGAATCTCCCAGTCACTAAAACTCCTCCTAAAGGAAGGAGTCTAGCACAATCTACTTTCATAAATCATGAAAGAATCAGCCACTAAGGCTTCCTATTCTGAAGCCACATTATACAAGGCAGGGAACAACTCTTTTAGAGTGCTTTCACCAGTCCACTGGTCTAATCAGAATCTGATTCTTCTTCTATCTCCTGCTTTAAATCTGATTCCATATTGTTGAGCTAAACTTGGAACCCATATTCTCAAATTTTAGTCTTATAGACCAAGATTTTACCATTGCACCAAGTAATGGCCCCTTATGATGTCACCTTCTTGGCTTAAAGGAGAAAAAACTGGCTATTGATTTGAATATAAAAAAAAAAAAAGAGATTCCTGTATAATGGGCAGGTTGGTCCATATTGGAAAAGTATATTTATAGCACTGCCATACTGGGATGATTTACTGCCATAATGGGCAGGTTGAGTACTCCTAGATTCAGCATATACTCACCAGCTTGGGGGTAGTTTTGGAGCAGAATGTTTATGTTGTGTAGTATTTACAAGAGCAGACTGTTTTTTTTTTTTTTTTAAGTTGTGGTCCATGTAACTAAAAGGATGAGTAGTATTTATATAGTGGGATTTGAGTGGGGTAGATCACTCTCTAGTCTCTTCCCATAATATCCCGTTTAGTCTTTTGTCCCCTTTTTTTTTCTTTTTTTTTTTTATCAGCAAATCCTTTGACCTCTCTTCTCTTTCTCCTGTTTTCTCCTTTTCTCTACTCCTAAGGTTGGCTGCAGATCAGATGACTCAAATACAGTATTGACACTTCAACTAGTCTAGAAGGAAAAATGTTGTAACTTTTACTCGCTCATTTTCTTATGTTAGTAATAGCCACTTCCACATAATCTAGTAGCCACTTAACCATATTTTAAGAGTGACTTCCTTTAGCAGCCATCGGAAACAGTGATTTAAAAGGCACGCCTCAGGCGTGCCTAGGTGCACAGGCAAGGCGCATTTCAGGGTATGTGCCTCGCCTAGGTCCTAGGTGCAGCCCTTTCAAAAGGTGCACGCCTGGTGCGCCTAGGCGTGCACCTTTTGAAAATTTGATGCTTTTTTGCTTTTTTTGAACATAACTGCTGGGCTGGGGGCTCCGCCCCCGGACCTCCGTGCCACACCCCTCGAGGCAAGCCCAAACAAGTGCACATTAGGTCTTAGATTCTTACTTTTCACACAAAAAAATAGTGATTTTATAGTTTTAATTGCTTTTTATTAAGACATTTTATTAGGATGAATGAATGAACAACATTACCAAATTGGGGGTTCTCGGAGAATCAGGAATGTAATACGTTTTACATTACATTAGCTATGTGAAGTAATGCAATTGAGTGAAAAAAGATATTAGAGGTTTTACATGCTTGAAAATGTTTTATATGTTTGATTTTATTTTTAAATTCTCATTTGAATATGCTTTACATCTTATATTTATGTATTTTAATTTTAGATAATAGGTTTTTTAAAACATTATTTTAAAATTTAATTTTATATTTTTTATTAATATTATGTTTAATTATTTTTATTTTCTTTATTTTTTGAATTTTTTGACATTTTTTTTTATTTTTTAGCATTTTTTGTATTTTTGCGCCTTGCTTCAAAAAGGCGCGCACCTCGCCTTGCGCCTCGGGCACAAATTGACCCCTACGCCTTTTTCGCACCTTGCGCTTTTAAAACACTATCGGAAATGCATAAAATACCTTGCTCATATGGCATATCGTGCTAACAGCATGACCTAGTGTGTTTTTTATTCTACACAAAAATATGCATGAAATTAATGTGTCCCAAGTCCCAACCCTGCCCCCCAAAAAGAATAATAGACAAAGTACTACTATTTTTTATCCCTCATGATATTATTGAGATTAAGTTTTGATTGATTTAAAAAAATGGCAAAAGCATTCCATCATGTCACCATGGACTTTCAGGTCTATGTGGTTACATGGATTTCCTATGATGTGGATAACTGACACGGAAGCTCTAGACATCCATCTGAAGAAGCACACACTAGATTATCCATGTATATAGTTTTACTGTCCACATAAAGCTCATACCTCACCATGTCTTGCATTTTCCCTTTAATACAATAGCCTTTATATTTCATTTTTCCCCCTCAAATGAACTAGAGTGAGCATTATATATATTTCCATCACATCAATTTGAGGTTTTCCAATTTGCTTTCTCTCAATTTTTAGGGTTCCTGTCAAATACCATTTCCCCTTTTTCTGATTGATGTCATGTCAAGGACACCAAAAGAATGGAATAATTATGAAAGAGTTTCTCGTAGAGGTTGTGCAAGCTGCAGGAGACTGCCCGGCCATAGATAGAATACAAAACAGGAACACTTTATTTGGTAACCCCTTCAACACCTTTTTGCTATTGCATGCTGATATGCCAAGTCTCCTTTGGGAGCTTAAGCCCTAGCTATGTAGTAAGCAAGATTCATGTGGAGATGTGGCTTGTCAGCTAGTTTTTGCAACTTTTAGAAGAAATGGTACTCTTTCTTCACCACTAAGACCCATTCTTTTGAGTCATTTTTGACTAGATTGCAATTAGAGTTTCCCAATATATTAGAACTTAGGACTTAGGAGGGAGGAGTCTCAAGTGATTAAGTGGAATTTCTGTTTGTCAGGTTCAAAGAGTTAGAGTTCATTGAGATAAACGGTCACTATTGTGACTCACCCAATCAGATAAACAATTATAACCATGGTCCTTGAAAAAAAAAATTGAAAAATACTAGTAGCAATCATCACAAATCGTTTGTTCCGATGAAATTTAATAAGATCTTAGCTTTGTACTACTACTAATATGCTCCCCAAAGTACACCATTTTCTCATGCCTTTTTTAATATATTCTGAAATCCTGACGAATTGAGTAAAGCTGGCACATCCAGGGTTTTAAAAAATGGTTCAAATGGGTAAACAATACGTAGCTACAGTTGTACCTGCAAGATGCAATGACTTTTACTCTCGTTGTCCCAATGATCCGAAACCTTCAGGTGGCCATATCTGAAGATGCAAACCCAAAGAAAGCTTTAATTCCTAAATGTTAATTAGTCGGATGAAAAAAGCTTTGCTGCAATGAAGTTATCAGTAAGCCACTAAGAAAAGAAAGCATGCAAGGTCCGTTCCGACGTTAATTCACATGAGAAGTGTCAAGTCTCAAAAACTTCTTAACATGCAGAAGCTATGAACTATTAACATCTTAGAACCAGGTTTATGTTTTGGTATCTCTATTTCTAGTTTCCCATTTTAGAGACACAGTATACAACTCTCAAGGTGCCTCCAATTAGTATCAGAAATCAATTGAACAGCCTTACTGAACTTCGTTTCATAAGAGATACAACTTCAGTAAAAAAATTAAAAAATAATAAAATAATAAAAGTTTTCATTCTGCAATTGCCCAATTCAGGAAGAGAAACTCACCCTGAAAAACACTTTTCCTTGAATCAGTCCATACGGAACAGCTCCAAAGTGTCTTGAATCATTGGAGGCATATATGTTGTCCCCCTGAATCCAAACATGGCCTTTCGGCACCTTTCCATGTAAAAACAAATAAATAAGTAAATAAATCCTAAAAGAGAAGAAAGAAATTCTGAAAACCATGAAAGTCCAGATAGCACCACAAAAAACAAAATATAAATCCTAGTATTAACGATAAAATTCCAGAACCCCAATTGAAAAGAGAAGTGAGAAAGCACGGAAAGAGGGAAGTAGCATACAACGACAGTCTGGCATCGGTCGCTGTTCTTGGGGTCGACAAGGAAGGTCACTCGATCGCTTTCCATACCCATCACACGCTTGGTAACAGTCTTCCTAGGGTTTTCCGGCGACCGTACGAGGACGATGTCGCCGGGACCCACCTTCCCGAGCCTGGTAGATATCCTCTCCGTCAAAAGCAGGTCGCCCGTCAGATTCAAGGTAGGTAGCATACTTGGACCGTACACCTGCAATTCCAATTTCAAACCCCATTATACTTGCCACCTTCAAAGAAATCGAGAACTATACTCGACTGAGAGAAGAAGAAGAAGAAGAAGAAGAAGAAGAATAAGAAGATACGAGAGTGGGAGTGCAGATGTAAGTGTTGGTGACGTGGAGAACGCAGAGGAACTTGGCAACTATGAATGTTCGATCCAACGCTTCCTTCGCTATGCTCCACCATTGCACCGTCATCTTCTCATCACATCTCTTCCTCCTCCGCTACCGCTAGGCGCTGCCGCTGTTGGCCGCACGCCGTTGGGTTTTAGGCATTTAGCGTTCCAGGTAAGGCTGCAACTTGGGCCGGATTGGACCGAACCCAACCCGAAAATGTCAGGGTTAGGTTGGGTAGGGTTGATGCTTGGATTAGGGTAAGAGTTGAAATTTATGAATTCAATTTTACTCGGGTTGGGTTAGGAGGGCAACCCGACCCAATTCGTATCGGACTCTATATAAATATAATAATATTATATATGGTATATCATTCTATGCATGATAATTGTATAGCCCCATCACATATTATCATTTATTTCTTTTAAGATAATCAATTCGATTAATCTCAATTAAAAATATTAAAACCTTAATAACATATTTTATGTTTTTGAATATTTTATTCTTTATCTCCTCTTTTGTTTGCCACCTGTATGTTGTCCATAAAAGATTTACTAGTGGGGACCCGTGCAATGCATGAAATTTGTTATGGAAAGATAAATAATAAAACAGATAAGAGTATACAATTGTTTTATATTTCTAATTGTTTAAATAATAATTAATTATTTATATTTTATAATACTTTTAATAACTTATTACAATACAAAAATAACAATAATTTATTTCTGCTAAATCATCGAACTGATGAAACCAACCAACTTGACCCGAATTGCTCAGTTTCTAATATTTCCAATTGAAATTGGGATCAGTTTCATTGTGACCATTTGTAAATTGATCAAAATCGAATGACCCAATCACACACACACACACACACACACACACACACATATATATATATATATATATATTAATATTTTTATATTTTAAATATAATTTTTTAATAGGGGAAAGTGGGAAAATTCCCGTATTTCTTAGTCTCAAATATCTTATATTATAAATTTAATTTTTTAATAATGTTAATGTAATTTTTAAAATTTAAAATTAATTTTTCAATGTAATCTTTTAAACCAATTGAGCAAACCAAAAATCAACCCAAACCAATACAACCCAATTTAGTTGGTTTTCACTAATGATGAGTAGATTTCGGGTAACCAACTCCCCAACTTGACCATGTCAATTTGGTTGGCCAAATAGCCTATAACCGAACTAAACCAAGCCGTGATCAACACTCCTAATTTCATCTAAATTAATATTTTAATCTCTGATAAATAAAAGTAGTTTAAGTTTTCAATGTAATCTTTTAAACCAATTGAGCAAATCGAAAATCAAACCAAACCAATACAACCCGGTTTAATTGCTTTTCACTAATGGTTAGTAGATTTTAGGTAACCAACTCCCCAACCTGACCATGCAAATTTGGTTGGCCAAATAACCTATAACCGAACTAAACCAGACCGTTATCAACACTCCTAATTTCATCTAAATTAATATTTTAATCTCTAATAAATAAAAGTACTTTAATCTCCAATAACTATTAAAAAATTATAGCGAAAATGCACAACAATTGAAAATATATTGATAATAGAAATAAAATAAATAACTAATAAAATTAAAATAATTATAAAAATACTAAAAATAATAAAAAAATATATTTAGTCAATAAATATTGTAATCTCAAAAATACAATAAATACAATAAGTATAATAAATTAAATTTAAAAAGTTAAATAACGGTAGTTTAATATCCAATAATTATTAAAAATTTTATGTTGAACAACAAAGAAAATAAAGATTTATACATAATTATTGAAAATATATAAAAAGACTATAAATAATTGTTGAAAATGGAATAAATATTAGTTTTAGTATTTTAAATATAAAAAAAAATATAGATTAAGATTTTAAAATCATTATTAATGAATATTATTTTTCTGAAAGTTATTTTTCTAGAAGTATTAATTGATATAAGTGAAATTGGTAATTTAAAATATTATTTAGTTATTTAAATAATATCCTTCTTTAAATTTTATAATTTTAATTATTAATTGAATTTAATAGACTATAAATTTATAATTTATTCTATTATTATAAAATACATTATTAATTTTGCATAATTTCGTTATTTTAACTATTGAAAATATAGTTATGTTAAACATTTCATTATTTAAAATATTTATTTATTTATTTATTTAAATAGTATATAAAATATTTAAATTACTCATTATTTGAATTTAAGATATTAGTTATTGAAATATTTAAATGATATTTTGTTTTTTTAATGTTAAATTTCTATTATTTGAATAACAGTTAATTTGAATAATCTGAAAAATCATAATTTATATTTTTAGTAAATAATTTCGTGATGAATTTTGTAAAAATGTAAAACTATTAATAATATAAATATTATTAAATCTATAATAATTATTTTTTGTGTTTTTAATAAATATTTTAAAGTTTATACTATTATTGCATAATTTCATTATTAATTTTGTAAAAATATTAAATTATTATTAATTTGAATATTATGTTATGATTATTTTATTTTAAGATTTGTTATTTTATTGCATAATTTCGTTATTTTAACTATTCAAAATATAGTTATGTTAAATATTCCGTTATTTAAAATACTTAGTTATTTAAATAATACATAGAATATTTAAAAATACTCATTATTTGAATTTAAGATATTTATTTTTTGAAATATTTAATAATCAAACATTTTTATATGTAATTATATAGCTATTTTTAGTATTTTATTATTTAAGGTATTTAGCTATTGAAATATTCAAATAATATTTTATTTTTTAATGTTAAATTTCTTTTATTTGAATAACATTTAATTTGAATAATCTAGAAAATCATAATTTATATTGTTAGTACAAAAGATCGTGATGAAATTTGTAAAAATATAAAACTATTAGTAATATGAATATTATTAAATCTATTATAATTATTTTTTGTGTTTCTAATAATTATTTTAAAGTTTATACTATTATTACATAATTTCATTATTGATTTTGTAAAAATATTAAATTAATATTAATTTGAATATTTGTTATGATTTTTTTATCTTAAGATTTTTCTTATTTTATTGCATAATTTTGTTATTTTAACTATTTAAAATATAGTTATGTTAAATATTTTGCTATTTAATTATTTAAATAATATATAAGATATTTAAAAATACCGATTATTTGCACTTAAGATATTTAGTAATTGAAATAGTTAAATAGTTAAATATTTTTCTATGTAATTATTTACCTATTTTTAGTATTTTATTTATTAAGATATTTAGTTATTGAAAAATTGAAATAATATTTTTAATGTTAAATTTCTATTATTCGAATAACATTTAATTTGAATAATCTGGAAAGTCGTAATTTATATTGTTAATACATATTTTCGTGATGAATTTTGTAAAAATACAAAACTATTAATAATATGAATATTATTAAATCTATTATAATTATTTTTTTTGTGTTTTTAATAATTATTTTAAAGTTTATACTATATTACATAATTCCATTATTAATTTTGTAAAAATATTAAATTATTATTAATTTGAATATTATGTTATGATTTTTTTTTTATTTTATTGCATAATTTTGTTATTTTAACTATTTAAAATATAGTTATGTTAAATATTTCATTGTTTAAAATATTTAGTTATTTAAATATTTAAATAATATATAAAATCTTTAAAATATTCATTAATTGAATTTAAGATATTTAGTTATTGAAATGTTGAAATAATATTTTATTTTTTAATGTTAAGTTTCTACTATTTGAATAACATTTAATTTGAATAGTCTAGAAGGTCATAATTTATATTGTTAGTACATAATTTCGTGATGAATTTTGTAGAAATATAAAATTATTAATAATATGAATATTATTAAATCTATTATAATTATTTTTTGTGTTTTTAATAAATAATTTAAAGTTATAATATAATTTGTTAAAATATTTAAATAATTTTTAAAATTTCTTTAGATAGAAATAGATAAAAAGTGGCAAAGAGGATAAATAGGAATTAGAGATAATTTGGAGAGAAATTCTCTAGTAAATTAGAGATAAGTTAGGAAATAAATAGGAATTAGAGATGATTTAGGAGAAAGTGGGGAAGTTAGTTTAGGATAAATTTTAGGAGAAGAGATTGTTGGGGAAGGAGAGCATTTCATTGTTTCTTTTAAAAAATGACATGGAATAAAAAAAAGTACAAATTTCAAAAAAATGAGAAAATTTCAAACACTTTTTTTTATGAATTTTGTACTTAAAAGAACCAATAAAAACATCAACAAACAAATACTAACAAAAAATATGATTAATATATGTAGTGAAAGTTGAGTTAAGATATGAGATTAAGAAGCTCTATAAGATTATAAGGGATGGGAAGAAGGTTGAGTTGGGCTCAACCTGAAGATTTAGGGTTGAAGGATTTAGTTAAGGTTAGGGTTAGGGTTGGATGGAAGGTGAGATGACAAAAGTGCCCATCAAGTTTTGAATGAGGGAGAGACATAGACACCTCTAAGACTTGTAAACCAAACATATGTATTCTAAGTAGGCACCTCTAAGACTGAGAGTAGGGAAAGTTTCCAGCAAATTGGTTTGTATTAGTTTCACATCAAACCTGATTTACATTAGAATGTGAGACATCTTCTTATAGAGACTGTCCACAGTGATCACAAGTGGGTCATTCTCGTCTTCCTATTCCTTTCTTCTTTTGTGTCATTGCATCTTTGTCATCCCATAGAGTTTTCAGCTTGGTGAAATAAAGTGAAACCAATTAATGTTCCTGTTGCAAATTAGAAATTTCATGTTGGATTCAAGGTTCAAAAAATCGATATGATATGCTCCGCATCGGATGTATCATATCCCACTACTTTTTAATAAAAATTACTCTTTTTTAACTCCTCAAAAACCAAATTTTGAAAAAAAAAACTAAAAAAAACCATTTCTGTGTGTATCTAAGTACCGCTACGCCTATACCGATATACAAAAACGTATCAATACTTTGAACCATGGTTGGATTTGAAAAGTTCTAAGGCCATCAATTTGAAAGAACCATTTTTTTTTTTTGTTGATGAAAGAAATATAGTTTCAAATCGTCCTAGATTTGCAATGCCGAATATCCATAGACTATACAACCAGCAATAATCTCCTTAGTGCCATCAGTGAAACCCTGTTTGTTCTTGGAAA